AACAATAACATAAGCAATTGGATAAATGTTGTCATTACCATCAATACCAATAACAGCCAGAAGAGCACTTCCATAATAACCCTTAAAGTTACAACTATCAATACTAATTATAGTCTACAGCCTTTGAAACCTTCTTTGCATGCTTGTAAACATATGTGCACTCTTTCAAACACCTTATTGTTCAGTTTTAGAATGGTTGTGCTACCAAGATTAGAAGCTCTAATTTCTCCAAGATAATCATATATCTTTGAGTATTGACCCTTGTGACTCCCAAGGATCATATTAAGAGTTAAGTGCTTAGCTCTCAGACATTTACTCAATGACACTTTATACACATGATTTTATAACACATTTTTTCTTAAAGCTTTAATAGGATAATTAGGATCAACATTAAATTTTTCAAGATATGTTTTAGCCATCCACTTGTAGGTTACATTTTTATTTTTAAACCCATCAAACAATTGTGCTCTCCTATATAAGACTTAATCTACCATGAGGTGTTTGTCTCATCTTTTCGATAAACCATTGATGCCCAAATATACCATGGACACCCTTCTATGCGAACAACATGTATCCTTACATTTTCAATTCTTTTGAATATGAGATCAACCCTATTCTTAATCCCATGTTACCTGACAGCCACTTTCAACTTCAACTTATCACAAAAAATCATCCAAACTTTAAACTGTGGATTTTTTATATCAGTTTTAATGTTAAACTCAGGACATTTACGTTTTCCTAAATCATCTGAGTCTGAGTCATTTTCACTATGTAATGACTCTACTCCATCAGTCTCATCTTCATCATTTGAACACACAACAACCTTGCCCTCATCTTTATTGTGTAACCCATTAAATTCTTTTTCAAAATCTACTCTCACATGTACCTTATGTACAAATCCCTCTTCATCACTCACATCATATTCATTGTACTCAAAACCACTATCAGTATAATCACTTTCATCATCTACATATTTTGTATCTTTTTTCAGAGTTTAACTCAATCTTAAATGTTTCATGGGTTTCAGTTTCATGAGTTTCATTTGTATTCAAAATGGTTTCAGTGGTTTCTGTCCTAAAGTTTAGGGCATCTTCTTCCAAGTACAAATGAATTTGTCTATTTTTGGGCATATCTTCTATCATGTTAATAACATCACAATCTATTCTTAGTGGCTTAACATTTAATATTCCCCCAAGTTGTTTCCAAAACAATTTTCACAAACCAGAATAACCTAACTCTTCTACAATATCATACATCGCAAGCATTAACATACTGTCCATATGGCACATATAAAAAAACTTGCCTTCTTGCCAGTGTACTTCAAACTAGATGAATTTACCATAAAGTCACCATGGTGCATTACAATTGTAAAATATTCAAATTTTGTACTTGTAAAAAATCATAAAAAATAAGTTGTTTTTTCAGAGACATAATGGTGGTCCCCTTACCCAACTTTTAGAATACTTTTTTAGAAACATAAAATCCAATAGATGGGCAACCATTCACATTAAACTCGAAGAAGAAGAAAAAACTTAGACCACATTTTTACAGCAGTATCAATCACAATATATATAAAAAAAAGTCATATTTAGCAACAATCATAAGAGGAAAAATATATCGAAAACAATAAATGAAAACCCTATTTCATCAAAAATCTAAAAAAAACCTTATTAAGCATACAACAAAGAATTTTTTAAGAAAACCCCCTATTTTAGGTAAAACCCTAAAAAACTTCAAACCAATATTTTTCCTAATAAAACCCTAAAAATATTTCAAACCAAAGAAAAAATAACATTCTTACCATATTTCATGCTTGTCATTCCTTTGGATGGCAAGAATTGTTTCTCCATATTGTCTTTACAATGAAAAATCAAATGCAATAAATTTTTAGTCACATAGAATTCATTCACAAAAAATCGTGTTTGTTCGTATGAAGAGTTTTGGGGTTTGGGTGGGAATGGTTTAATTTTGTTTTTGGAATGATGATAGATTAATGAATTGTTTAATTGATTTTGGGAATAATAAAGTCGTTTACAAAACTATATCGTTTTAAGTCTTTATCCGTCGTTTTAAATAAGTCATCCATGTCATCACCACCACGACAAACAGATGTCATGCCAGCATCTCGTTAACGAATTAACATCAGGTGGCTTAATTAGAGTTAAACATAAACGTCAGCGCTAAAATTGAAACATCAATGACATTTTCGAGCCCGCGCTTAAAGGTCAGTAAATTTGAAGTAGTTTACCCTTAAAAAAACTAATTTGACCATCGAACTCGATCAAAAAACCAATTTAACCCTTCTACCACATCATCATTCATGTCACCAATCACCGTGGATTGCCACCTTAGCATCGTGAAGTGTCACATTAGTACTGTAACGATCAACGACGGAAACTGTTGGTCAAAGAGTCACACTAGATTTGGTTTTTAAGTTTAAGGGCCATATTAGGCTTAACAAATACAAGGACCACATTGATTTTTTTTTTAAAAAGTATGATAACTTCATATACCTTTTGTCTTAGCTTTAAAAAAATAGATTAAAATATCTGAAGTTATATTTTACTCTCTCTCTCTATATATATATATATGAAAAAAATATTTTTACACTAATTAAATACAAATAATTAACATATTTACATATCTGATGAATAATTTGATTCTTATTTGAATTTGTATATCAGTATTTAAATTTAATGAGTATATTAAACAAATTTATCTTACTGAGACAAGGATGGCAGTTCGGATATATCATATGCATGTTAAAATTATATTTACCGTGGGTTCAAATCGAAAACAAACACACCTTAAAAGGTATATCCGTCCTATTTATGCAGATATTCAAATCTGATTTTGAGTTATAAAATAAAGGTAAAAAGGTACTCCTGTAATATCCAAAAAAAAATGTTTAAGCAGTAAATTGATATTTTATCTCTGAATTATTTTGGATTTATAAAAATACTTATGATTAGTAATTTATCTCTAAAACAAAAATGGATTATTTATGAAATTTACCTTTAAATTAAAATATGTTAACTACAGCCTTAATCCCTAAAATCTCTAGTGTTTTCGAAATTGAAAATTTTTAGAGTTTAGTGACCAAAATAGAAGAGAAGAAAATAGTTGAGTGATAATTATTGTAATTTATATAATTTATAACAACATGAATTAACACAACCGTTTGTCAATGACGAAAAACTTGTTTTTTTAATTAGAGGGCCCACATTGATAAAAAAAATATATGATGAGGACCACATTAGTTTTTTTAAAAGTATAGGGACCTCGAGTGTCTTTCTACCTAAAATAAAATTTGTGTTTGATTCCATAAAGATTTAAACTTTTTTTTTTATAATTTTAAGTATTCGACATATAATATAAAAGTATAAATTATTAATTTTTATATAGATTTAGATATCTAATAGATAATAAATTTAATTCTGATTTGGATAGCTATATCTGAAAATAAAACGGATTTGAAAATTTAAATAAATTTATAGATTAAGATGATTCAAAAATTTTAGATATCCGCTCAAATTTCATTCTTATTAGGCATAAAAATATATATCAGTTCCATTTAAATTTAGCTTAGTTTAGCAAAGATACGCACATGCTAAGTAATCTAAACATAAGATGCACATTATGAAGGTATATTAATAAAATTATCTCTAACGTTTGTCCAATGGTCACTTTGTCCTCTATGTTTTTTGTAAAACATTTTAACTTATCATTTTGGAACAAAATATCATCGGTTGAATAAAAAATATTAGTTGACTAACTGTGAATACTTCATACCGACTTAATAAATCCACGTGTGATATCATTGTAGCAAAAAAATATTTTTAGATTAATTATAATTAATTATAGGGCTAATATAAAAATAAGTGTCTATATTATGCCTCGAAAAATATTTTAGTACCTAAAGAATTTTTCGTTAAAAATAGGTGTCTAACTTTTTCTTTGTTACCATTTTAGGTGTTTAATGTTTTCTCCCTTATCATTTTAGGTGTCCGGATGTTAAATGCCATTAAAAAATCTCGTTAAGTGACACGTGTCATGTTCTGATATTTTTTGATTTTTTTAAAAAATTATTTTATATTAAAAATTAAAAAAAAATACATCACCGGTGTGTTTCTCCCCTCCCCCTTCTCCCTTCCCCATTTCCTTCTATGCCACGGTCGATTAAACGACAAACGACCGACCAACACATTCGATCAAACAATTAATTACCACGATTGATCTAAGGGATTTTTATGATTTCAAAACCCTAAAACAAAAAATTTCAATTATACCATTTTTTGACGTTCAATCGGTTGCGAAAGCGTGGAGTTTTAGTCATGGATGGTTGGCCAGCCACACGTTGTTGAATGTTTGACCAATTGACGTTGTTGGTAGCAATCAACAGTAGCAAAATGATTGAAATGAAGTTTTTAAAAGTTTTGGGATTTTTTAAGATTTGAAAAAAAATTATTTTAAATTATATTTTTTATTTTAAATAAAAATTATCAAATTATCAAAATGTGACACGTCTTAACAATGAATTTTAACAGCAATTGATGTCGAGTGACAATGATTTTTAACTGCGATTGACATCATACACCTAAAAATATAACGGAAAAAACATTAAGCATCTATTTTTAACGAAAAATTCTTTAAACATTAAAAAGTTTTTTGAGATATAATTTAGACACTTGTTTTTATATTAAGCTTTAATTATATATACACTTGCAAAAATATATTTAAAGATAATTTAAAAATATTTTTTTGATGACGTGACATTACATATGGACCTACCACATCAATAAGAAACATTAATCATTAGTCAACTCACTATTTTCATCCACCCAAAAGGTATTTTGTTCTAAAATAAAACGTTGAAAGCTAAAATACTCTAAAATAAGGATTTGGGACAAAGTGACCATTTGTACAAATGTAGGGATAATTTTGTTAATACTGAAGGATTAAATACTCTAAAAATAAGGATAGGGGGCAAAGTATCAATCTATGCCAACGTTGGAGGTATTTTGTTATTATGCCAATTATTAACGAGCATTACAATTTGCGCTTACAACAGAGGGTTCAAACAGCTAACACTTTTAGTTTCCGACAGGTTCATATGATATGCAACATGTTTATGGTCTCTCTAAAACAGAGTTAAATGCTTACATGGTCAATTAGCCACAGCAGTTGTTCTTCTGCTCGATCGGCCGTCCCTTCATTTCAACGGTTCCGGTTGACCTGTTGGCAGCTGGTTGACTACCCATTCTGCAAAGATTTTGATAACTATTTAGGTCAACTTCATTAAAAAACGTGAAAATATAAATAAATGAATAAAGGTGGAGATTTGGACAAATGATAATTTTTCGGAAAATCTAGGCTGGTGAACTATTGAATCGAATGAAAGAGCTAAGTGCTCCGAAGTGCAATGGTGGCATCTTACTAATAAACAATTAACCGATTACTAGCAAACAGGTTAAGAACAGGAACACATGGGAGTGTTGAAAAGTCATTTTACTTTTTCTTGATTTCAGCAGCCATGGTTAAGAAAGCCTGCTCCACATTGATTGAATCTTTAGCACTCGTCTCCAGGAAAGGAATCCCGAGTTCATCAGCAAAAGCCTGCAGTTCATTGAGCAACAGGATTGCAAATTAATCAAATTATGATGCCGGCAGTAAATTTTCTCAGCAGCAGCAGGTTCCATTTGTTTATACAATTTGTCATCTAAATAATCGATGCTAGTTTTGAAAGGAAAGGAACATCTCTGGAAGTACGAGAATTAACTGATGATAAAACCTAAAACATTAAAAGTAACAACACATACCTTCGCTGTTTGAGTGTCAACAACCTTGTTCTCAACTAAATCACATTTGTTGCCGACCAGAAGCTTGCATACACTGTCATTAGCATATCTATCAATCTCATTCAACCATTGCTTGACATTATTGAAGCTTTCCATCTCAGTAACATCGTAGACTATCTGTTGCAATCCCAATACACGAAAGGATAGTGAGAAGCTTATGCAATGTGAGAAAAGATAAATAAGAGAGTGATACCGTTGATAATCATTTCAGAAGAAAAAACATCATTTTCTTTAATTGAGTTCTTCAATATGCTAAGATATAAAAAATAGCCCCCCCCCCCTCTTTACCAACTTGAGAAATACATAATAAGACTGGCAGTTTTGGGTTCACATGACAATTTACATGTTTAAACAAAATATGGAATATTGACTGTATGTTTATATTAATTGCAAGAACAGAAATTAACAGATAATGTGATGATCAAATTTGTTTGAAACACACCGCCAAGGTTAGTTCGGATAAAATTTTATGATTTACAGATCAGATGGTTCAGTTTCTTACAATTATCCCATGGGCTCCTCGGTAATAACTGCTCGTGATAGTCCGAAAACGCTCCTGTCCAGCAGTATCCCACTAAACAAAGAGGAGTAGAACATCACATGTTAATATAGGCACGGCTGAAAAAAGGGGGGATTAGAGGTGAACGATGCATGGTTCTTCCTTGCTCATTTTTTCCAACACTAAAAAGCCACAGTTAACTATCAGTGGAAAAATTGGATTAACAAAATAAACTAGTCATATAAACGCCATCCCATTGGCCACAACTGAAAATTCCTTCATCATGACACAATCAATCTCACTTTTCTGGTACATCAAAGATGAAGGTTACTTTAGCTATGGAAACCCTCGTTTCCTATTATACTCGTAAATAGGATAAGTGAAGACAAACATTGGTAGTGGCCTTTAACATCGTTGCTGAAAAACATATAATTCAACTACATACATAATCTATGCCGTGGCATGTCGTTTCTACCATGAAACCAGCAATTTGACTCAAGATTCACACAAGTCAACTAGCTTTACTAAACGTCATCAACATGTATAATTATAAAGCTCTGAACAATAATGACTGAACAAGCTTTGACCAGAAACAAACTTCAAAACAACAATTATAGGCTTAAATGTACATGATACCCAAATGCCTACTGCCTAGCACCACTTTCTTTGAAGAAACGTGTTATACTCACAATTTGCAGCTTGATCGTCTTGCCATCCAGCTCCACAGTTCTGATTTTCTAAATATAAACAATTAAATAAGAAAATTTTCACATTTTTAGTACATGTAAAAAAATCTCCATATATTTATGCGACAGAGAGAAGGAAACTCACGAAATCAACACCGATGGTACTGATGTAGCTATCCACGTAAGAATCATCCTGGAAAATTTTAAGCAAGCACACACTTAAAAATTTTAACCTCTAATTGCTCTTAAGATTAGTAAAAATTAACTAAGAAGCAAACCGACAATGTCAAAACAAGAGCAAATTTTAATAAATAAATAAATAACAGCTACAAGAAATTAAACTTACGGCGAATCTGAGAAGTAAACATGATTTTCCGACGGAAGAGTCGCCGATAAGCAGAAGTTTGAACAGATAATCGCTAAAAAATTAAAAATATATATATTAAAGAGAGAAAAGAGCATAGATTTAACTATTTTTCAAAAGAAATGCGATTAGAAATATACAGAAATGGAAAAAAATTAAGGAGGAAGGCTCACTATTCGTTGCTCATTTGAGATCCAAAAGACTTGAAAATCTTTGAGACGAAGGTACGGACTGTTCGGCAGAGAAAAGGGAAAGTTCGAGTTTTTAGTTTCTATGTCAACAGTGAGAAAGTTTTCTTCCGATTGCGCTCTATTTGCCTATCCCTCTCAATCACATTTCTTTATTAATTATTAGGGTAAATTACACATTTAGTATTTAAACTATCGATTTTAGTCAATTTAAATACCTAAACTATCAATTATTTTCAAAAATATACCTAAAATTTATTTTTTATTTCATTTTAGTATCATGTTTAAAATTTAATGTTAAATTTTGATTTTTTTTGAAATTTTAGGTACTAAAACATACATACCAAAATTGATAGTTTAGGTACTAAATGTATTGAGTTTTTAACGGTGTGGTACTAAAATGAAACAAAAATTAAACATTACATATGATTTTGAAAAAAATTGAAAGTTTAGATACTAAAATAGAAAAAATTAATAGTTTAAGTACTAAATGCATAGTTTACCCTAATTATTATAGGGTAAACTACACATTTAGTTCCCCAAGTATTACTTCTGTTACATTTTGGTCACCCAAACCCAACTATTATTTTTTTTAAATCATATTTAACATTATATTTTGATTTCATTTTGGTATCTGCCGTTAAAATATTTACATAACTATTAATGTGACATTTTTAAAAGTTTTAACGATGATATGATACTACCGTATGGTGACCCGTCAAAATCGTTGTTAATTTTTTAATGGTGGATGACCAAAATTAGATTAAAACATAACATTAGGTACCATTCTGAAATAAAAAATAGTTAAGTGACCAAAATGTAACAAAAATAATATTTGGGGTACTAAACATGTAGTTTACCCTTATTATTATTATTATTATACAAATTCAATCACTTCCAAAATTTATTTTACTTTTCAACCTTTTGTGGAAATTAGTAAAATTGTATTCTATTGTAACTAAGAGAGAATTTTTCAAAATTTTATATTTATTCTATGCAAGAATGCCGTGCTTTCCTATTTTACTTTGGAATTAATGTAAACAAAAAGGGATAATTCCCCGTGAAACAGCATCAATCAACACTATAACAAAGAATTTGTAAAATCATCACTCTGGGCAAAATGGCCTTTCCAAGCCATCCTTATGGCTAGGGATCCTGAAGTGTCAAAGCCTCCCTTCTTGCTTCTTCATGTACCCTTCACACAAAAATGCCATGGAGAATTTCTCTTCGACGACTCGGTTCACGTCGTGCACGAACACGTCAGTCACTCCTTTCCCTTTATTCCTTGCCATCATACCTGCGATGTATATGGCGGTCATCCTCCCCGGAGCATCCTCGTAATACCCGATCGGGGCATCTACCATTATCAAGTCCCATTTCATCTCGTAAACCTTACTCGGCAAACCTTTCGATGCAAGTTGGCACATTGAGTGTTTAGGGTCTGCGATCGCTGTGCATTTGGGGCCTTTGCCCACATCCATGAGATTATCGGCTTGGTTCACCTTGCTATCATACGTGACATGGTAGGACTCTAACATGGGGAACCGGCGTCGAATTTGCTCGATCCAGGCCTCGTCTTCTTCTAGGAAAACTGTTCGTCCACCGTAGTTGAGCGAACTCCACATGAGGCTATCATGGCCCAAACCGAACACTAGGAAGTTGCATGGTGACTTCTTCTCTAGTATCTTCGCCGTGACCGAGATCTCCTTCAACGTTTGTTGCAGGGTGATACTCAAGGTCGCGTAGTGTATGAGAGCTTGGGCAAGAGCACGCGGTATCTTATTGCATGACGGCGAGCAATCCTTGCTTTCTTCGATAGGACTAGACGTTTTAGCCGGCGCAAAAGTTCGCAACGTGCTCGGAGACGATGCGGCTTCTTCGGGAGACGACGATAAACTCGATCTCAACACGAAAAGGAGGAGACAAGCAAAGAAAACCCCTAAAATGACCTTGGAATTGAGGGCTTGACTTGTCTTAGGCCTCATGTTTTGCCTGAAATGTCTGATGCATGGCATGCTTATATTTGAGCTGCAAATACATTAGTATACTTCAGCTTCATTATGCTTGGAAGTGATGAAACACCAGTTACTTGATGAAGACAAAACATCTACGAGGATTGTGCATGAAGCAACAACAATGTTGTTGGCACATCAACTAGTTTGGTGGATTTCATTAAATTAGGGTTCATTCTAATACCCAATTTGTTGCTTTCTATGAATTATTAATTTTAAGCTGCAACAGCAATGGATTATCAGGGGAACCTTAGTTTTCAGAATTTGATAGTTGGATGACATTTCAAACAATAATGGGTTAATTTTCTATTCCGGTTGTTAGATTCCTAAGGTAGGTGATAAAAGCAATGAAAAGTTTCATGGTTAAGCTCGATTCGAAATCAAAATTATAAATATCCGACTTTGATCAATATCAAATTGATAACTTGACATTGCAATAAAAACATAGTACATGTGAGTGTTATGTTACTTTGTCCAAAAGTAAGACAGAAACATGTATTTTTGAAAATTGCAAGAGACATGTCCTATCTAAGGTTGAACATTCGATCAAATTAAATAAAAAAATTGAGTTAATCGAATTAATAAGTCATATTTTATTTTTTGAATTTTATTTTAAATTTGAGTAGAGTTATTTCCATTTTTTCAAATTTAATTATAATTATATCTAATTTTATTATAATTTATCAACTTTCTCTAATAATATATATATTCACATTACTTTTTAAATTAAAATATTATTTGATAAATCAAATGTCATCTAAAATTATAAAATATATTTATAATATTATTTTTTAACCTTGAGGTCGTGAGATCGAGTCTCACGGAAGGCATTTCATAATTCGGAGGTCTTCTACGGAAGCTACTCTCAATCTGGTATTGGGGACAGCCTACTATCTTACCTCCCCCTTACCCCATTACATATGGGAACAAGGGACAACCATTTATTTTTTTAAAAAGATATTTTGAGGAAAAAATCTATTGATGCGAGTACAAAAGAGTCAATGAATTGATGAAAATAAAGAATTTATAAAAAATATATATAATCAAGAGACTAAATTGAATAAAATAAAAAGCTAATATATTATGTTGAAAAAATAAATTTATTATTGAAAATAAGAATTGAAGTTACGTGTGTATTTTTTAGATAGGAAAATATGGATTTAAATGAAGAAACAAAGAATCATATAAAATTTAAGGACAATTGAGAGAAAAATTTGTCAAAAGAAAAATTAAAGTTACATAAGTATTCTGCCATGGTATGGTTTAGAAATGTGCGATTCAAATTTGATAAAAAAATAAACTTAAAATGAAAAAAATTTGAAGAAATAAGAAAAATAGAGGCCAAATCACAAAACTGACAAAATACTTGGCTCATTTTTTAAGTTTTTCAATTATTCAAACTTTATAAATTACAAAGCATAATTATAGTCATATAGCCTGTAAAAGTGAGTAAATTCGAGATGAGGACTCGGCTGGCCATTACAAAAAATTGCAGGGATCTTAATTTTAACTTTATAAGAAGCAGCCTATTTTACCTGTACAAAGCATATTTCAGAAAGTAGAAGTGTAACACTGCCTCTACCTAAGGTAACAACAAAATGGCCTGTATGCAAATTTCAAACGTAAATCACAAACTCACCAAATACCGATCGATGTTCTTGGTCGTCCACTGCATTTTCTTTCTGAGGGAACTTTGGCCGGAGAATTTGTACTGGCTGCATGGTTGAAAATCCATGATGATCGAACATCATCCGGCAGCAAGACTTGTCAAATCTCCAAAACAAAATATTTTTTCCTAGTAATTATATTATGACACACTGGAGCTTCTGGACCGGAGTGGAACCCGGTATAAGCTTCTTTCAAGTTTCTCACCCTCCTTTTCTTGGGGGTTAAAGTAGCGATTCAGTTTGTCCATAATCGTCAAAGTTAGTTTTCGACATTTTGTCTGCACGAGCTCTGCGAACAGCATTCTGAATCCGTCTCTCGTGCTCTTTAAGCATTTCCTCAAGGTTCCCTCCACAAGGCAACAATGGTCCGGAAGAATGGATTCGGTTATTAATGTAAACGTAACCCTAGATTCACAGACAAGATAAGTGTTAGTAACTCCAGACAGTTGAAACTGATAAATTTTGTTGTCCATTATGCCATGAATACCGTAAAAGCAATTGTTGCAAACCATCACATGGAATCAGTTTTCACAAGAATGGATATCGAATCCATCACTAAACGAAAAGAAAAAGGATGTCTTGGCCAAAACAAATGAACGATATAACTGATTCTATTTACGAAGTTCCCTTACGACTTTTGATTCCTTGGAAAATTGTTGTTCATCCTTCAAATTCGAAGCCTTTGGCCTGTCGAGTAAACGATGGGACAGTTCATGCTTCTCAGAGGGCTCCACAATATCCAGATGGTTATATCCAGCATTAAAATGCTCCCCTGGCCAGTGAGGATTTATTTTCTTCTCTTTAGTCATATCGAACCGTGGAAAGCCTCCAACAGCAATTGAATTAGAAAATCTGGACAATTCCAATGTTCCACGATGAACAGATGTTGCTTGAGATCTCAACTCTTCGGGCTTCCTAGGAGAACTAAATGCTCGAGTGGAAACCTTCATAAACTCAATCTCATTCGTTTTCTTATTCCGAGAAGATCCAAATCTACTATGGCGCATTGACCGGCCAGAATGAGAGTTGGGTAGAACTCTTTCTGTTCCTTTCTGAGGATCAATAGGGAAGGTAGCACCACTCCTGTCTTCTTCAGAGTAGTGTACTTCACTGATACTTTTGCCACTGTATTGTCGTCGCCGCTTCTGTATCAAGCAACACAGTAAACATCAGTCCTGACCAAAAGACTGATTTTCCATTTGGAAAGTGTTCAAACACCACACATTAAATACCATCATAAGCATATGCATTTTGCAAACGCAAATAAGTCTCGCAAGTAAGAAAGTACCTGTATGGATGCTTGTGACTCGGCATTCAAATCTGGGGCAGGAACAGCTATTAATTCTCTGGACAGCCCTCTAGCAGGATAGTGTGCATGGAATTTCCCACCAGCAGCTCTTTGCCTGGTTTTCCAGTGAACAAACAG